GACGGTCTAACTCACAGGCGCGAGGTAGGCCGTACCGCACGACACGGTTGCGCGACGGGGACGGTATTGCCGAAGTCCCAGGCGCTCACCTTCGTGGAAGTTGTAGTGGTTGTGGATGTGCAGCCCCCAGCCGCCGATGTCTGAGATGTCCACGTCGAAGCCCTGCAGCGTGGCCGTCTGCGTCTCCCAGATGATGGTCCTGCAGGTCGAGTGCTTGTAGCCGACCGACACCTTGGCCTGCGCCACGCCGTACACCTTCTGCTTGTACACGTTGCGCTTGTTCCAGGCGAACACGTGCGTCAGGTTGGGGTCCGCCTCGTAGGTCTTGGTGTGCACGGAGCCCTCGATCTGCACCGTCACGTGCACGTGGGTGAGCGTGGCGGGGACGCGGTCGTGCGTGAGACGCATGAGGACGGTGGACAGGTAGCCCGGCGCCTGGCTGCTCTGGTACTGCAGGTACAGGTCCGAGCCCGGGATGCGGATGGCCTCCTGGAGGATCTGCGTCTCGGCGAACACGAGGCTGCGCCCGGGCATGCCGCCGACCTTCTCCGGCATCCAGGTGGAGACGACGACGGGCTTGAGGAGGGTGTGGTCGTGCGCCTCGCACGGGCTCGGGCCGTCCTCTGCGCTCGAGAAGAGCGACAGCGAAGACACGGGCATCTCTGCGCGACAGGGGATTACATTTTAGAAGAAATGCAAAAGAAATATAATCGGTCTAGTTGCAAAATTGAACTGGTCGCGTCAACTTACCAAATCCGAGCGCCGCCGCCGCGGCCGCGTCGCGGTCCCTCGGCCGGGCGGTGTCGCCGGCCAGCGGCAGCACGACGGGCGCCAGCACCACGATCTGGTTCCAGGGCACGAACACCGTGCGCGTCGTCGTCTGGAACGGCGTCCGCAGGAACTGGAGCGTCACCGCGCCGCCGCCGTTCACCAGCATGTCGAACCTGCGACCCCCAGGATGGCGTCAGCGGACACACAATCTCAAAAACGACGCGGCCCGTCCGCCATACCGGGCACGTCGCGAAAAAATCTGATTAATGGTCCGGATAAATGATTTCTAAAACCGCGTGCCTCGCAAGGCCGTCTTTGGAAAAAAAACACGACACGAGAAAGAAAGGGATCGGGAAAATAACGACGACACCTGGTCTGGCTGGGCCGGGGCCGCAGCCGCCTGCTTGTTACGAGACAACATTTCTGACGACACGATGAAGAATGTCGGTGCGGCGAGGCTACCCCCTCCTCCCTTTCCACGCTCCCCCAGGGGCGCGCTGGGATGGGGGCGAAGGGGTGGTGGTGGTGGTGGATAACAAACGCCCCCAACACCGGCTTGATGAATGGGGACGCCGTATATGAAGGGGCAGAGGAGGGGAAAAACGGGGGCCTCGCGGGGCCGGGGGGCCGCTGCTGCTGGCGGGGCCGGGGGCCGCAGGTAAGGCGAGGCGGCAAGAGGATTAGACACTCGGAGAGGCGGGCGCGCGGTGCGGGCGCGGTGCGGGCGCACGAGGCCCCGGGGCCAGCAGCAAACCACATCAAAGACAAAGACACCGCGGGCCAAATAATAAAACATGAAAAACGTGGCGCGCGCGCGCGCGCAGGAGGAGATTAATTCCCCCTTGCGTTGCGTTCTGCAGGAGGCGCTCGCCTCGCCCGCACCGCCCAAGCAGATAAGAACAAGGCCACGGCGGGAAAGGAGGAAAAGGGCGAGCGGCGGGAAATATTTGACTGGGGGGAAAAGGGAAGGGATCGTGCGGGGGCGTCCCCTCAAAGGGCTCCCCGGCAGAGCGGCGAGGCAGAAGGGCTGCACGACCGCCATTTGGTTTAGGGCCACTGAGGGTGGGAATACCAAAGGAGGGGCCGAACACACTGCTGCCCCCCTATCGCCGCGCCCTGCAGCAGCGCCAGGAGGTACCCATCTTACACGGGCAGGCATTCTTTTACCCTCTGTTTCCCCTTCGTCGTCGTCCTCCTGCCCTTGTAGTGACCCCCAGTGCCGAGGCCGACAGACTTGGCCGGGCTTTGCAATTGTACTACCCGGGGTGGCGAGGTGTCACAATGCCCGGAGAAATAAGAAGGGAGGAGAGAAAAAAAAATACGCGAAAAAAAAAATGTCCTAGAGGTTTCATCTAGTTCTCTCAGGTTGGCGAGCTCGCTGCCAAGCTATGAAAACGGCTGCCGCTGGCTCGCGCGAAGGCGAGGCGGGCGAAAACGGAGACGGGGGATAAGAAGAGGAGACAAAAAAAGGAGAGATAGAGAGAGAAACAACAGACTAGGGGCGGGCAAAAACAAGAATGCCCATTCGCTCGCACACATTCCTAGAGGGTGGGAGCAGGGGGCGGACACCGAGGAGGGGGGAGTGGGATGAAAGTGGGGCCGATGCAGTGCGACGTATCACGCAAGGAGACGGGGGCGGGCGATACATAACGCCTGTCTCACTTTACGGAGAAATAGATAGGGAAAACGGATCCGCGAGGTGCCTGAGGTGTTTTAAGAATAATCCGTTGTCCGTCTTGCGCAACCATCCTTCATCGCCCTCAAAAAAAAAAAAAAATATATGTATAAAAAAGAAAGAGATAAGGGAAGAAAAGAAACTGTTACTTACCATCCCCCTGCTCTCGTAAGCGTGAAGCCCAGCCTGGCGTCCTTGTCGACGGACACCCGCACGCCGTAGATGCCGAGCCCTTGCGGCGTGACCACCTGGCCTCTCATGACGGACACTCGCCTGTAGCATCGACAAGAGTCAGCCCCCGCCTACGACGCCCCACACCGCGGAGGCCCGGCCGAGGGCGCCCAGGACTACGACATGAACATGGGCAGCTCGGCCGGACCCGCCGGGGCTGGGGAGAAAAAGACACATGTGCACGAAGTCTACGCGTAGGTGGGACCTGATCTGATGGAACTCTCAAACGTTAGGCTTACTATGAGAAATAACAAACGAGAGGAACGCTGAAAATTCCATCATTTCTAAGATAGCAATTCCAGAACGTATAATTTTTATTTAAAAATAAAATGACCATCGTTCTGGGATTTCTGAATGATTTAACTGATCTGCATCGGGTCGGGATTCCTTGGAACAAGAGCGTGCGAGGTCGCCAAAAAATATTGCGTTATGAAAGTTAACCTTTTAAAATCTAGGGTCTACAGATTTCTTCAAGAGACTTTGTCTAAACAGAACACGCAAAACAGTCCAAAGGAGTCTCAAACGTGACAGGTAAAAGAGAACAGAAACGCTGCGCCTTCAGGCAAAAGCCGGGATACCGGCGAGACTGAGAACCCAATGATCTGTGGCTCGGGACGAGCTTAGCGCGATCACAGAAGTTTGTGCACCGTCGTCCCCTGCAAAAGGATTTACACGGGCACGGGAGGCTGAGGGGCCTGATTTTTGTTTCACATAAAGAGAAAACCAACTCCTAAACAACAAGTCACCCTAGGCAGGTATTAACATTTTATGATAACCGGATACGCATTACGAATGAAATCATTTTAAACAGTCATTGAGCCCGAAGCCTGACCGTTCTCCCCATGCAGACCGATACCGACGTTAACCTAGGCACAATGCAACACTTACCTCGAAGAAAGACACAACAAGAAAAATTACATAAAACAAGGCAGGCAAGAGAAACCAAAAGAGCTTAGTCTTTTAAGTACGTTCTGTTTGATTTCACTTTTTCTGAATTCGTCGAAAAAAGCTACAGGCAGACTTTCTTTTGAATAGTGGGCTTACTTAGAAAGAATGACCCCTTTTTCTGAAAATACTCTTTGACATTTTCAAAGACATTTTTTGTTTTTGTTTTTACAAGCTGACTTTTTAACCCACTTTTAAAGAAAGGCTGCATTTGTTTAACGAAAGCAACAGAAATATAACACTTAAGTGAAAAAAATTATAAAATATCTATGGCAAGTCAGAGAAAACGGTCAAATTGGAGTAGGACCGCTTTTACGAAATGGGCGAAACCATGTTACACAGAGTACCACAACATAAAACTCGGCGCACAAATACGAGGACAGACCACTTTTTTCTAAATCCAACCTCACGGCTGGATGACCAATGGCATAAGATTGCCGACGTAACTCCAGAATAGATTAATTTTACGAGTATTAAAGCCTCGTCTTGTCGAGAAACGCGGAGACACTACTCCAACATTTCCGATATTCCCTAAAACTTCCATCAAATCAATATCACTTTTCAAACAATGCTCAATGCGGAGTAGGAAAGCAGCGTAAGTTTTAGTTCGAAAACTTTCCGTGACCAACTAGGAGGAGCGGGGAGGGCATGGATTTGGGAGGAGAGGAGAGGTATGGCACACACATAAAGGACAACACATACAACAACAGGAGAAAAGCAGGGTAGGGTTAGGGTGTGGGAAACACATAAGACGCAGACACAGGAGGAACACACATAGAAAAATAAACACATTCAATTTTTTTCAATAGCTGCCATGTTCAATGATACGAAATAAAATGGATATAAAATGAATATTTTATCCACAATGGGAACTTTAAAATTCGCAGATAAAGCGTAACATGTAAAGCAAAAAAGAACAAAACCAAGCAAACAGAAAACACGAAAACTACACGTACGACAAAATGAAAATAAAACCACAACACACTCGTCGGTACCCTACAAGCATAGCGTAGTGAGCGGCGAACATACAATACAGCAGGTGCATGTTAAGCGACATGTATATAACTTGGAATAACATATAAAACGAAAGGAGGGATGGAGAAACGAAAAATTTAAAAAGCTGGTCGAAGTCTTAATTTCCAGATTTGAGAGATGCAAAACGTTTAAATTAAAGAAACGGAAACAAGAAATACAGGGAAAGCAACTTAAAAGTCAGATGTTTGGACTGATCTGTCTCTCAAACATCGGATAACTGGAATTTGTGTCTTTGAAAGTAAAGACATTGATTGAAAAAAAAGCATCAGGATTCGCAAACGGAAATAGAAAATACGCAAATAAAGAAACGGGTTTGGTTGAGGATAGTAATGTTGGATAATATTTTGCTGGTACATATATATATATACGAATTTATTATTATGCAATTCTCGGAAACTTACCGCGGTGTAAATGAGCTCCAGAATTGACTACGCGTTGAAAAATAATGAGAAACATGGGGTATTACTATCCGCTCAGCTCAAGCCAGCAAGTTCGCGTATGTCTTTCGCAAACAGTATCGCAGAAGATTTACTGCTGTCGTCTGAGACGAGCGTTTTGAAAAGTGGAAGAGGGTAGGCACGCAAGTAAGCTTTTGCGATACAATTTGAGAAATTGGCGCCAAGGATGAAAAACGGCGCAATGCATCACACTTTAACTAGTGTCATTCACACTGACATTCACGCAAAGGTATGCAAAGGTTGAAAAAATTCGATTTCGAAAGGTCGATTTTATCATTTTCAAGACAAAACTATATTTGGATAAGGGGCGGAAATTTTACGCAAGAGATGTAGTTATAATATGTGCTTCTTGCAAAATTACAAGGAGATCTGAGAGACAACATTCACACACACTTTCACACATCCTCACACATACCAACGGACACATAAGGAAAATAATAAATCTCTAACATGAATTACAAGTGGACAAAACCTACAGGACATAGGACAGACACAGGTCTCACATGAGACAATTGGACGAGACACAACTACAAACACACACTTTTCAGCTATTTTGAGAAAGAAAGCTTAAAAACAAAAATAAAGTGCTTAAGGGAGCCGGAAATGACTTTTGTTACTTTATCACTTGGCCGTGAAAAAGTAGAGAGGGCCCATGAATTTAATGTCTTGACGAGACCGATTTTAAACTGAGAATCTGAGATATCATTACAGAGAATGCAAAGCTCCGACTTTCGTGAAAATGTAATGTTGATAACTCTAATGGTAAAAAAATCCTACTGTATGGCAGCATAAGTTAAAAAAAAACTTACACAAATAGGACGAATAGCACGTTAGGACAAACACACACACAGTTCGACACAACAAGAAAAAACGTTTTTCTTGTACATCACATATATAAAACAAAACACATAAAAAACAAAACAAAAAAGGGTAGGGTAAACATGAGACAAGACACAGGGATAGGTTACAGGGGGTGAGACAAAACAATTATCGTTCCATACCGGGGAGGTTGTCTCCCGCGCACGCACGGCCTGCCATAGGTTCATTGGTATGAACGAGGGCGGGCGCGCCAGGGCGCCGCCGACTTCTAATAAAACAATTGAAATGTGCCAAGGGTGGAGATTGTAAAAGTTTTGTCTCCTTCGGCCCCTGGGGAGGAGGGGAAGGTGAACGCAGGAAGGATGGATGGGGTTTTGGGAAAGCGGGGCCGAGTAGAAGGGGGCTGGTAGGTGCGGGAGGCGCTGCGCCCGAGCTGCGCCCCCCCGGGCCGTCGCGCAGGCCCCGCGCGGGGTCTTCGAACAACTTAAACTAGCAAACAAACAAACAAAACCCCAACACAAACCACGGCCGAGCCGGCGGCGGCGCTGGCTGGGTAGACTAGAGTTAGTACGTGTTCTGGAAGTAATAGTTTTAGCTGATTCAATTACTCCCGCGCTGCCTTTTCGCAGACGGGCCGGCCTGCAGGCGGGCCAACGTGCCGGCCACACGAGGAGGCTTGGCGGGAATTACAAACAACTGAGCGACGCCGGACAGGCTGCGGCAGCTTTAGAACACGACTGGCACATTTATCTGTTTTTCTCTTTCTTTTGTGCCGTTAAACCAAAAGACGAGGAAACAAAAATAGAAATTTGTCAGTGCATCCCCCCCAAATGGTGTCGCTTCGCTAATAGCCCCTTAAGTTGTCCACATTTACGCTGGAACTTTGGTCGTCGAGGCGCTTAGTCGGTGCCGCACGCCGGTGGCATTAAGGCCCTGGTGGGCGGGATGGCTTCAAGCCGAGCACACGCCCCGCGACAACAGCCCGAAGAGTGGAAAAGGGCAAAATCTACGGCCAAACCGCCATCGTGAAACGTTACCATTGTTCTCCTTCTACTGACTTGAACGAACCACTTCCCCCGCGATAGAGTAACAAACGAAAACCCCCCCAAATAATAGAATGGAACCCGCAATAATTGTCATGCGCGGCCGCACGCAGATGTAGATATGTAAAATAAAAAAGCTTTTAAAAGAGAGCGCACACACCATTCCGTTCAAAGGAAAACAAAAACAAAAAAAAAAGCGGATTTTCTCCGCGTGTCCACGCGGCAAAACGCGAGAGGCGAATCCGGCAGCCCACGGCGCTTGAGCCTCGCGGGCCCAACTCTCTCACACGTGCAGGCATGCCAACACAAAGGCCGCCCGCCCGCCTCCCCCGAGCAAACTCGGCCAAACTGGCTGTGCCGTGCTGGTCCATCGGTAAGCGACGAAAATAATAACAAAACAAAAATAAAACAAAAACTTTCTCCGCACGCCATTTTCGCCTGCCCCCCCGGTGGACCACGTCACTTTTCTTTCCCTCCCCCCCCTTTTTTTTTTGGCAAAGTCAAGACAGTTTGCGCGCGTGCGACCCGAAACCATCATCAGAGGGAGCCGGTTTGCGATGACTCGAGGGATGGCGTCGGGGGCTGCCCAGACAGAACGTGAAGGTGCGACAAAGAATTAAAAGGACACTGTTTTCTTTTGCACACACTCTGGGTAGCAGTTGGTCTCGAGGACCCGCGCGCACACACCCGAACGAAACAAACAACAACGACAAGTCAGTTTGACACACAACAACAAAAACAACAACACTGCGGACACCGCGGCCTACCTTTCCGTGTAGCTGTCAGTATGGGCGTAGCTCTGGACTGAGTTCTCCTCGATGAGGAACTTGACGCGCTGGTAGAAGGAGGCCGTCACTAAGGGAGGCTGCTTGCGCAGCAGCACCTCCACGGGGTTCTTGGAGGACAGGCACATGAGGTGGGACTCACACGCCGAGCTCTGGCAGCACTCGCTGTCTGAGCAGTCCATCATGCCGTCTGCAACGCCAAGCAGCCGTCATTTTCTAGCAACTCACTCTCACTCTAGGACCCTCTACACACAACGAAAGGTAAGCTGGGAAAAATATGTTAATTTCGACCCCCAATTTCAAAAATCACCCTCCTTTCTAGGGGTTTTCAGGATTTAAAATACTGTTACCAAAGGTGTTAAAACTTTGATAGAAATTCAACTTTTTTTAAAAATTGTTTTTGTTTTTAGACACATCAAAGAAGAAAACCCCAGCTGTCTGATGATCGCGTCCCACTCACCATTGTCGTTGTCCTTCTTGTCGCTGCACTCGGTCTCCAGGCGGATGCCGCAGTCGCGGCCCGCCCAGCCGTCACCGCACACGCACCGGTACTCGCCGTCCTCCAGCATGCACGAGCCCTGGCGGTTGCAGCCGTTGATGCACCCCGCTGAAAACACAGGTACCGCACGATCAAAATATGGTAAACCCCTCACAATCAGAACAGTTCGGGCTGGGGTAACTTTATTCGTGGTTGTTACTTTGAAGTTCATCGCACAAAGCTCATTGTGAAACATCAGTCCAAGTTCTGCGTGTGACGCATAATAATAATAATAATGGCAGAGGTAAATCGCTAGCCGCACGGACTGGTATGGGCCACGCGCCTCTCTCTCTCTCTCTCTCTCTCTCTCTCTCTCTCTCTCTCGCCCCTTCCTCCAAACTTACTTCCGGTCGCCTTCGCGGTAATGCGGCCAAAGACCGCCGCTGCTCCTCGCAATTGGCCGGCCTCCTATCCTAATTGCCAGCGTGTATTGCTTGCACAAGCTAGAGCCGCGCAGCGTCGCGCAACTCTCCCCCCCCCCCTGTACCCTTCCCTTCCCT